ACTGGACTGTACGTGAGGGGAAGGTTGGAGGGTGTGACTACCAGTTTCTTGTTAGACACTGGAGCGACGGAGAGCTTAATATCTACTCGTCTCTTTGAGAGAATAGCGCTGCGAGGGAAACCGACTCTCATCCCCTGACCGCACATTCCGCCAGGCCGACGGAAGTGAGCAGCGTGTGGCGGGACGGGCCAAAATGCAAACAGCATTAAGAGGATGTAAGGTGAACCACACGATGTGGGTAACAGACGTGAGCAACCAAGCAATCCTTGGACTGGACTTTTTACGAGAACACAAGTGTACATTGCTATGGGAGGATGAATGTCTGCAGGTGGGGAGTTATAAGATGCCAAGGCAGGCCCACCCGGGAGAGCCTATAGCCTGCCGTGTCCGAGTAACAGAAAACGAAATAGTGCCACCTTTAACTGAAGTCACTGTTGGATGCCAGGTGGTACACCATAGGCCGGGGATTGTGCCCACCTGGGGTGTACTGCAAAACAAGAATCACAATGCTGAAGATCGCAGTTTGCTGGTCGCCAGCGCTTTGGTAGGGGTGCAAGATTCCGTAGTTCCGGTGAGGTTGTTTAACCTGTCATCTGAGCCTAAGCTACTTTTGGCAGGTACCGACGCTGCTATGCTTGGTCCGGTGGACAGTGTGACGATGACTGGAGCCACAGCCGATGACAACCACTGACATAAGAAGTTTCCTTGGCCTCATCTCTTACTACAGACGGTTCATTGAGGGATTCGCTGGAATCGCCCACCCACTTCATCGATTGACGGAGAAGGGCAGAGAATTCAAGTGGACGAGTGAGTGCCAGCAAGCATTCGAGATACTGAAGCATTGTTTGACCTCTGCTCCGATACTGGCTTACCCAAGTGCCGAAGCCGAATTTATTCTGGACACAGACGCAAGCGGCTTTGCCATTGGGGCCGTGCTGTCCCAAGTGCAGGACGGAAGGGAACGAGCACTGGTGTATGGGAGCAGAACGCTAACCAAATGTGAGCACAACTACTGTGTAACCCGCT